GCTGCCTGCCCCCCCCCCCCCCCCCCGCGCCCTGCGCGCGGCGCTTCAAAGCACTACATGCTCCTGGCAGAGTGGGAGGAGGCTTTGCATGATCCCCCATCCCCAGGTCAATTAAGTGCAGAGTAGACTGGAAGAATGACTTCTCGTTTCTTGCTCACAATATTCTTCTTAATGCATCCCAGAATCATGTTTCCTTTTTTTGCAACAGTGTCACACTGTTGACTCATATTTAACTTGTGGTCCACTATAACCCTCTAAATCCCTTTCTGCCGTACTCCTGCCTAGATAGTCACTTCCCATTCTGTATGTGTGAAACTGATTGTTCCTTCCTAAGTGGAGCACTTTGCATTTATCCTCATTAAACTTCATCCTATTTACCTCAGACCATTTCTCCAGTTTGTCCAGATCATTTTGAATTATGACCCTATCCTCCAAAGCAGTTGCACCCCTTCCCAGGTTGGTATCATTTGCAGACTTAATAAGCATACTCTCCATGCCATCATCTAAATTGCTGATGAACATATAGAACAAAACAGGTCCCAAAACAGACCCCTGTGGAACCCTACTTGTTATATCCTTCCAGCATGATTGTGAACCATTAATAACTACACTCTGAGAACAGTTATCTAGCCAGGTATGCTTCCACCTTATAGTACTAGGTTGTATTTGCCTAGTTTATCGATAAGAAGATCATGCCATATCAATTGCCTTACTAAATTCTAAGTATACCACGTCCCCCGCTTCTCCCTTATCCACAAGACCTGTTATCCTATCAGAGAGCTATCAGATTGATTTGACATGATTTGTTCTTTACTAATCCATGTTGGCTGTTACCTATCATCTTATTTTCTTCCAGATGCTCACAGATGAATTCCTTAATTACCTGCTCCATTATCTTCCCTGGCACAGAAGTTAAACTGACTGGTCTGTAGTTTCCTGGATTGTTCTTATTTTCCTTTTTATATATGGGCACTATATTTGCCCTGTTTCAGTCTTCTGGAATCTCTCCCGACTTCCATGATTTTTCAAAGAAGATAGCTGAAAGCTCAGATACCTCCTCTATGAGCTCCTTGAGTATCCTAGGATACATTTCATCAGGCCTTGATGACTTGCAGACATCTAACTTTTCTAAGTAATTTTTAACTTGTTCATTTTTTATTTTATCTTCTAAATCTACCCCATTTCCACTAGCATTCACTGTTAGCATTCACTTCATCATGAAACTTCTTGGTGAAGACCGAAACAAAGAAGTAATCAAGCACCTCTGCTATTTCCAAGTCTTCTGTTATTGTTTCTCCCTCATCACTGAGCAATGGGCCTTGGTCTTCCTGTTGCTTGTAATATATTTATAGAATGTCGTCTTGTTGCCCTTGATGTCTCTAACTAGATTGAGCTCATTTTGTGCCTTTGAATTTCTAATCTTGCCCCTGTATATTTTGCTTAGGAACTCCTGATCATTGGCCAACACTTGGGTGAGATTCTTCATCATCTATTCTCATTGAACAGTATATATTGAAGGGAGTAGATCCAATGAAATTAAGAGAGGAAGTGCTACTCATCATGAGTCAGGCTGCAGAGAAGAGCCCTGTCAACTGGAAAAGCACTTCAAGCTAGGAAGTAGTTATTCCAGTGTAGGGAGTGCTATGGCTTGTGTACACTACAAAATTAGGTCAATGTCATTTAGGTCAACCTATAGCCTCTTTCTTGCCCCCCTCTCCCCTCTTTTTTTGCTATTTATTTGTACCTCTGGACCCCTTCCTCCATTTATCTGCAGAAGTGGGTTGTGCCCACAAAAGTGCATGATACTATCTATATTTTTTTGGTTAAACTCTAAGGTGCTATAGGACCATTCGTTGTTTTAATGTTTTTTCTATAGCCGGTAGTAATTAGCTGTTGATGTCCACACAGTTCTCTGCTGCTGCTGATGGAGCGCTTCCTCACCAGAAGCACTTGCACTGCCTGAAGTGGGGCATTGTGGAGCACTGTCAGCCATATGAGACTCACAGTTGTAGCCGCCCCATGGTGACAGCCCCAGCTGTGAGTCCCATGCAGTCACATCTTTACAGCATAAAGCCCACCTGCAGGGAAATGGACATTCTTGTCAATTTCACATTGCTATTGTCTGGACTCAGTGCAATCAGACTCTGTAAGCTCTGTGTGAGAAGCTGGGAGCCCCAGTTCTCAGTGCGTGGCAGGCAAGCTAGTAGTAGGGAGCTTGGGGGGAGGTGGAGGCAGCGGGGCTCCTTACAGGGAGAGGGGAGCCCAGGCAGCAGCCCAACAGGAGCTGGGAATCCAAAAGGTCAGCCCCAATCTAGCTGGAACCCCCCCAGCTGTCCCAAGGTGACTGTGAGCCAAATGCAGGGAGCTGTGAAATTGACACAAATTTACATTTACTTACAGTTGATGTAAGTAGTGCAGTCTATATGAACACTGTGTTATCATAACTATACCCACATAACAGAGTGTAGACATAGATCTATAAAGGTACAGGTTATAATTGCATTCTTTGTTTTTGCTGAAACAGACTAGCATGGCTACCTCTCTGAAACCTTCCTTAATAATGTTTACTGATGTTCTGACTGTATATGTAAATCTCATTGTCTTACCTAAGAGAAGAAACATGTTTTTATGGAAATGAATTAGATGTGTATAAGACAAGGAAAGTGGGCAATTAAGCCACCATTCAGCAAAGTACATAAGCAGAAGCTTAATTTAAAGTCCATGAGTTGATCCCATTGACTTCATTGGGGCTACTCACGGTTTTAAAGGTAAGCACAAGCTATTTGATGTATTGTAGTCTCAATTGCTGTTTGTAGGTTAGTTTATATATGTGAATTAGCTACAGTACCATCATGTGTATTCAAGGCAAGAATATCATTATAGTATGCTAGAATTATGGTATTTATGAAAGTCAATACAGAAGCTAACAGGACAGCGATTAAGACTTCATCTCAATTAGAATATAAATTAATTATATTTTCCACAATTCTTAATTGAGGATTGTGGGTTTCTAAAGCTGCGTTAGCTAGCAATTAACTGACGTCAGTGAGAGTTACTTATGTTTTTCAGGAAGAAAGCCCACTGTATGATCTTGCACAAGTCACTTAAAATGTGAATACTTCACACATTTGTAAGGTCATTATACGGCTTCAGACAGAAGGTGCTACGGAAGTGTGTACTTGTATTTCTCTTAGGTTTGCATATATGCAGTAGTATAGAATCGTAAAAGTCAACATATTAACCCCTCTACAAGAAGAATCCAGCACGGGAGTAAATAGTTCTAGGTTTTGTCTGGAAGAGATCAACAGACAACACCCATAGGCTATAAGTGGATCACGCACACAGACAAGGATCTTTGCAGGGGTCAGGTTAGATTAGTAGAGATTTAATCTAAAATATCTGTGCCAGAAACTAATTAGCAATAAATTCATTTTGAAAATCAACATACATATCAAAATTGCTGTCTGAAGGCAATCAGAAAGCCTGATTCAATGAGAGTGGCTTTTGTTGAGAAATATATATATTACAACATGATAAAAAATAAATAGAAAGATGTAGAAAATAGAAGAAAATACCACAGTCTAGTTGTTAATTAGCATTATCTAGTTTTACCTTAGAGCTTCTATTTACATTATTTCCATGGAGGGTCCTATGAGTGGACTATCACCTGGGGCACCATAGTCAAGAGGCAAAGAGAGGTGTAAGCCTGGGGTGTGAGGCTGTGGAAGGGAGCTTGGGGTAGTGAGTAGGGGGGAAGGTAGCCGTGGAGCATGGAAAACCCAGACAGGCTGTGGGGACCAGAGGTGATTGGGCAGAGCCCAGGGAGGCTGCGAGGGCTATGGATGATGGGGAGAGGTGCAGTCCAGGAAGGCACTAAGGCCTAGGGGCAGTTGGGGGGGGGGGAGGCGAGGGAGGAGAGGACGGGACTTTCGGGGGATGGCTAAGGGACCAGAGGAAGCAGCAGAAACCATGGTTGATAGGAATGGGGGCAGCCTGGGGAGGAAGCAGGAGCCCGGGGTGCCAAAATACTTCACCAGAATGCTATTTGTCTTAAGACCAGCCCTGATTACATTATATGTACTTGTTCAAACATATTTATAAAAGTAGCTTCATCAGACTAAAAAGGGCACTTAGGAAAGGCTGTGCACGAAAAAATCACTTGAAAGGGTTTTATTTGGAGTTTAAATATCACTGGTCATAATGCTAGGTTTTGGTTGAAGGAGAGAGTATAGTTTTTTTAGTGAGAAGAAAAAAAAACAGCAAAAAAAAAAAAGGATTGAGTGTTTAAGACAGTCATCTTACTCTTTTCGCCCGGACTGCAGGAATGACTCAGATCATTGAATCTTTTCCAAAATAGTGGGCTGATCTACACAACACCAACTCTAATCAAGAACATTCAATTAATGATGAGGTCAGACAACTTGATTTTAATCACAACCAACCACAGTTACTGAAAGAGAAAGGTACTTTGCTTTTAATGATTCACACAAGTGCAGTCCCCTTTGAAATCTTATTCTTGTGACTTTATGTGACAAATACCAACTCATTATATTAATAAATTAGAAGTCTGTTTTAGCAAAGCTCTGCTTCCTTTACAATCACAAACAAGTCAACAGAATGACCCACCAGGAGCACTATTACTGTAATCCTATGTTATGGAAATATCCCCAAGTAATGTTTTATATTAAGTCTACCATACAGAGCACAACCATTTCTGCTGGCATTTACCCTTTAAATCCGTAGCAGAGCAGTCTTTTCTAATTGGGATTTTCATGCAGCATCTTCTTATATACAAGACACACACATATAGTAAATCAACCATATCTATCTCTTATGGTTGACCAAGTTTCATAGCTAGATTAACCACAGACACTGAAAACTCTTTACTTTACAATGTCAGTCTCTAATCTCTAAAAGCTGGTATTTTTTGCTTAGATTGGAACACTTTGGGTAGCTCTCTGTCGCTGTGAAATGATATTACTCATACTAATATTGCACTTTGTTTATCCCTAAAGATCAGAGATCTAGACATTAACCCCTTTGATATTGAGGGTTCAGTGCCCTTTTGACATAGTTCTTCTGTTGCATTAATAGATAAAAACTTAAACATGAAAAATCTGCTCTTAGGGCTTTACCAATAATAGACCCATGTTTATGATATTATTCACAAAAAGAGAGACACAAATGGAAAGGCTTCTCTCTTTAATCAGGAATGTGTGCTCCAGTTAGTACTATCCTCTGGACATCATTAAACATGTATTTTGTTTTGTAAGTCATGATTTTATTTGACTAGGAAATATAATTATATATCCTCAAGCCTTTGCAGCTAGCATCAGGCAGATCTAACTTGAACTGGGTAGTCAGCCTTGTTTAATGTTAGTATGGGAAGAAAACTTAAAAAAATAGAGAGAAAGAGAGTTGCTATTAAATCTAACCAGTAGAGATTCAAATTAAATATGTACAGATTGAAAACCTTTGACATTGTCGAATTATAAGTAGTAGCCTCAAAGATCATCATAGTCACTGCCCAGTTAATAATTAAAGAAATACAATAATTATAATTAAAGAAATAAAATAACAGTGTTTAATCCTAATTATCTGAAAATATAATACTGTAGATTCTCCTCTCTGAATTCCTGC